TTTTTTTTTTGAGACACGGTCTCACTGTGTAGTTCAGGCTAGCCTTGATCTCACTTTGCTCCTCCTGCCTCAGCCTCCCCAGTGCTGGGATTACAAGGTATGCACCACCATACCCCGCTGGTTCCATCTTTATTAAGTGGTTATAGGTTTCTACTAAAATTGTGGATTTACCTACTTTTTTCAGTTCTGTTTGGCTTCATGTATTTGAACGTCTATTTAAAAATTACATGTGTTCAAGCCTGGTGCAGTGGTGCATGCCCAAATCTCAGCACTTTGGGAGGCTGAGGCAGGAGAATCACAAGTTCAAGCCCACCCTGGGAAACTTAGTGATTTGTTGACACCCTGTCTCAAACGAAAAAAGAAAAGGGCTGGGAATGCAGCTCATTGTGGAGGCCCTGGGTTCAACCCTAGAGCTGAAAAAAAACATCCGTCCCCCTGTGTGCTCATGTCCCTCAGTCCCCCAGGCCACAGCCCTTGTCCCCTGCCCTGGTTCTCCGGGTTGCAGGCGCCAGCCGGAGGGACAAACCCTTGAAGGCACACCTTGTGAGCTGCAGGAGAGAATCCACGGCCAGCTCCAGGTGTGCACTGGTGTCCCTAAAGGCCGCCGGGAAATGTTTGGGCCCAGGGTGCCCTTCAGGAGGACCCGTGGGCCTTTCAGAGGTGGAGTTTAAAGTGGGCATGGTGGCGCAGGCCTGTAATCCTGTTATCCCAGCACTCTGGGAGGCTGAGGCAGGGCGATCACAAATTGGAGCTCAGCCTGGGCCACTTAGGGGAGACGCTGTCTCAAAAACAAGCTGTGGACATGTCCGTAATCCCACTGCCATTTCCAACTGAAGACTCTTTCAAAGGCCCCCGTCACAGCCGAATTAACCAAAAAAAAATAAAGGCTGAAGGGGGATGGGGAGAAACTTCAGTCGTCGCCGACGCGCGCCCCGTGGGGCCATGTGACAGGGCCTGGCTAATGGGCTGCGAGTGGCGGGGATGCCCCGCCCCCTCCGCGGCCTCCGGAGGCCTTGCCTCTCCTCGCTGCCCCAGGCCCCGCCCCGCCCTCCCAGGAGGCCCCGCCCCGCCCCTCAGTGTCCCCGCCCCTCCGCGCCTTCGGAGCCTCGCTGCGTCCCGGCCCCGGCAGGCTGTGGATGGCGCCCCCAAACCACCCCGCGGCGGCGCGTCCGCGTGGAGTCGTCACGGAGGCGGGAGCAGGGGGAGGTGGGCGCTGCAAACGGCGCGGGATTGGAGCCGGCAAACAGCGCGGGCGAGTTCCTATCGCCGAAGAGTGGGGACATTTTAAAAATTAAAATAGAAGAGATTTTGGTAAGTCAAAATTAAAATGTTCAAGTCCATGAAATGGACAGAATTGGCCAGGGATACAGCTCAGTGGCGTAGCGGCTGCCTGGCAAGGGCGAGGTCCTGAGTTCGAATCCCTGTACCCACAAAAATAAAATGGGACAGAATGACAAAATGGCAGGGGTTTTGTTTTGTTTTGTTTTTTTGTCTCATAGGTTGAACCCAAGGCCTTTGCTCTGAGCTCCATCTCCAGCCTCTTTTACATTTTTTTTAAATTTTGAGAGAGGGTCTCCCTAAGTCAGTAAGTGGTCCCTGCTGGGCTGGAACTTGAGATCCTCCTGCCTCAGCCTCCCAGAGTGCTGGCATGACAGGTGTGCACCACCATGCCCAGCTCCTCATGGTACATATTTTCAAGAACAGGTTCAAACAAAAAGATCAACAGTTTAGAGCAGCTGCCCCTAGCGGGGACAGAACACTAGTAGAACACGAAGGAAAAGACAGGGAAGAGAAGGAAGTGTGTGTGGGGGGAGCCACCTGGGCCAGAGCTTGTGGCCTTTGTGAGGCCTGGCGGTGAGGGGCAAAAACAGAGGACCTAACCGTGGCCACAGCTGGCCCCAGCTCCAGGTCCTCGCTGTGGCTCTGTCCGCTGACATACTCTGAGATCACTGCACTGCCTCCAGGCTGGCCGTCTCCTGACCTGGTGTGACCGGCCCCAGGCGACCCTGTGGCTTCTCTGTCATCATCTTTCAAAGGCTGTGGGTGACTCACTCTGTTCTGGTTCTGAATCTCCTGGCTCTGTCCAGCTCCCTGCCTTTATAGCCAGTTCTGGGCTGTGGGGTCGTGGGGTTTGCGGTGTAGGGTGTGGAGCCAGCGCTGCGTTACATCCACAGCCTTTTAAATTTTTTTTTTTTAAATTTGAGACAGAATCCCAGTAAGTTGCTAAGTTGCCCAGAATGGACTTGAATTTGCAATCCTCCTGCCTCAGCCTCCTGTGTGCTGGGATGACAGGTGTGTGCCACCGTGTCGTGCCAGGAAGTTTTGAGTCTGTCACAATCCTCCCTTGGCAGGGTGCGGGTATTTTGTGCCTGACACCGGTGTGGCCCTGACTGCAGTGAAGCTGCGCAGAGGTCATTTCCGTGAAATGATCAGGGGTCACGGGGTGAGCGCAGTGGGCCAGGCTGGGCGGGGCACAGGCGCTCCCTCGCACCCTGTATTCCAGGCCTCCCTCTCCCTGGGCCCCAAAACCCTAGGTCAGGGCCAGGTCATCAGGACGGGGCTGAGCATGGGGTCCTACCCACCTGGTGCTACCCCAGACCGCGGCCCCTTTGCCATCCTCCGAGCAACCCCACTGGGGCCGGGGCCAGGTGCTGCTCCAGGTGCCTCCCGATAGGAGATGTTGGGGTGGGTTGTCCCCCAAATTGAGGTGGCTCCCCAAACCTCAGCCCCGCTGTGATGACCCAGTCCGATTGGGAACTGGGAAGGTTGGGCAGCCCCGGCCCAGCGAGAGACCCTGGTGGGGTACTTAGTACCCTGTCCCCAGCCAGCCTCCCTGGGACAGGGCCACCCCTGGGGAGACAGTAGTGAGCCCCTCAGTCCCTGGGGCTCAGTTATAACTGCTGTCCACCCAGCCAGCCCGGGGGGCAGCTGGGGCCAGGCAGAGGTAAATATAGACCTGGCCCTGCGCTGCCCTCTGGCTGAGAAGGGGTTGGTGAGGCGGGCAGAGAGGGACGCAGCTAGGCAGGAGCTAAGCCTTCAAAAGGGACCAGGATAGGGCAAGCTGAGCACACACCCCAGTCCCAGGATTCACCCCCCAGCACTGGAAGGGACAGAGAGAGACAAAGAAAGGGCAAGAAGCATGCCATTCCTTTGTGGCCTTTGACAACCTGTGTTCCCCCTCTGGGCCTCTGTTTTCTTTGGTGATTCCTCTCAAAGATGCTATCCAGCCAGGTGGTCTCAGTAATCCCAAAACTCTGGGAGGCTGAGGCAGGAGGATTTCAAATTGAAGCCTAGCCTGAGCAGTTTAGCAACTTTGTCTCAAAAAATAAAAAGGGCTGAGGATGCAGCTCAGTGTAAAGGCCCTGGGTTCAATCCCCAGTCCTGTCCCCTCAAAGAGAAACAAAGCTGTGTGGCTTGCTGAGTAAGGGACTGGGAGTCTGAGGAGCCCAGGGCTCCACAAGCATCAGGGCCGGTCCCCGATGGGCCTGTGCCAGGGCCCTGAGCATGTGCTCGTGGGGGCTCTCGGGGCCCCCACCTCTGGCCCTGACTTGGGGAGGGAGTCACGCCAGGCCGGGCTCCAACACGGATGCGTTTATTGGCAAAACCTATTCCCAAGCGCACGGGCCGGGCGGGGGCGGCAGGGCCAACGTCCTCACCTCTGTGGCTGCCCTTGCAGGAGCAGGGGACACAGCGGCCCTGGCAGGTGACCGCGCCATGTTCCCGCGCCCGGGCAGCTAAGCCAGCGTCTCCCCTGATCCTTCAACACCCTAGGAGTACAGGCCATCAAGTCCCAGTGCAGATTTGGAAACTGAGGCACCGATGGGAATCGCCGAGCGGGCCGCCCGCTCGTCTCCGCTGCCGGCAGCTTCCTTGTCACTCGGAGCGTCCTCTTGCCCGTCCCTCACCATTTCTGGTTCTTTCAGTGCTTTCAACATTTTTGTGAAGCCACAGACTGCCCCTGTCCTGGGAGGCCTGTCTGCTGCCCCCCCCCCGCCCAAATATGAGTGCCCCCCCAATTCAGTTTGGACGGGGTTGGGCTGGTGGGGCCCTAGTGGGGTCACACTAAAGCCAAGTACAGCAAAAGCTCTCGGAAAAGACACAATAAATTACAGCCCTCTCCCGCCCTCCACACCACCCACGTCCCCCCCAGGGCAGCATCCTGCCTCAGCCCCATGTCCCCAGCCCAGGCCCCAGCATGTGGGGATGGGTGTCCCGAGTCCCCACCCCTGCCCCCCCCAACACCTCTAGTCTCAGGGTGGCGACAGAGGGAGGAAGGGGACTCGCCAGACACCAAGCCGCCCCCCCTCCCGCCGTCCCCTTGGTGGGTACAGGGCCCTGCTCGGCCGTGCCCTCGTGGCCATCAGCAATGTGGGTGTCCTCACGCACCCCGCTGCGGGTGGGGATGCAGAGGCAGGAGTGGCCCCGGGTCACACAGCCAGCAGGGCTCGAGTGCCCCCCTGACTGCCTAACGAGGGAGCGCTCGGACCCCGGCCACCTCCAGCCAGAGATTCGCGCGCCCTTGTGGGGCCCGAGACCCCCGCTGCCCACTCTGCTCTCCGGAGAGGGCCTGGGGCGCCTCCTACACTGGCATGGGCACCTCGTCGTACTCGTCCCTGCCATCGTCCTCATCCACAGAGGCCTTGGCGTCGTCGGCGTCCAGCTGCAGGGTGGGAGGAGAGGGGCAGGTCAGCCCCTGCCGCCGGCCTCCGGAGCCGGGCACGACGGCCGGCAGTCCTGGTTCAGGCAGCGCAGCCCCAACGGCCGGTGTCGCGGCGCCCCCACCCCGGGTCAGGGCGGCCGCGTGGCCCCGCGCGCCCTCGGCCGCCACAGCCTGTCGTCAGTCCTCGCAGGCAGGCGACACACAGCCGGGCCGGGCTGCAGACCGCGGCGGCGCGGGCGGCCCTCCGCGTCCCCTGCTCTCGCACCCTGCGCCCCCCGGACCCCCACTCACACACTGGAGCTCCAGGCGGCTGAAGAACAGGGGCAGCAGGAGGCGCCGAAGGGGCACCGTGAGGATGAGCACGAAGGGCAGGGCCAGCGAGGCCTGCGTGGACTTCACGGCCCACAGCAGCGCCAGGCACGCGATCTGGATGGTCGTGAACAGGTGCATGCGCCAGGTCCGCACCTGCGGGGGCGGCGATCAGCGTCGGCCC